TCTATTTATTAAATAATAAAATCATTGTAAAATGTCCGGAAACTTAGGGTCAAATGGAGCTGAAATGAAAGCTCTGATGTTCGACTACAAAAGTAGAAAAGCATTTCACTGGAGAAAAATAGTGTAATGATCTTGAAACACTAGAATGAATTAGAGGCGCAATCCAAGAGGGACAGTTTAATGACACAAATTTTTAAAACAACAGAGCAATCCGAACAGTCTGACATTCGTCAGAGAAAAACAAACTACAATTCCAGCGACTGTACAATCAGTTCCATTCCATTCTCATTCACACGGGGCAATAGTTATTCACTCCACTCTGTAACAACAGCTAAAGTTCTTGGATATCCGTAATATTGATGTTTTGATTGAAAATTCACCTAAATGCACTCAGAATGTTAGATTGTAATTGAAATTTCAAGGAGTTTTGCCATAGAAAATATCAAATTTCATGGAAAAGTGAATGGCAACTGTGAATTTGAGTTCAATTATTCCCAGAAAATTAAAGAAATCAGGAAAATCTAGATAACGATCCTCTCGAATTGTTAATTAATTGAAATCTCAAGCGAGTCCATATTTTCTTCGCTTCCTCGGTAATGTAAACCTTGGGAACATCTGGACAATTTCTTGGAGGACGAAGTCGAATGGCAAACAACATCCTCCCTCTTGATTTCCTGTCCTTGATCATCAATCGTGGTATCTTGAGATCCTCTTCATCCGGATGGAGTAGTCGATCAACATATTCAAATGCACTGTCGCTAGACTCCCCCATTGTTGAGAGTGGAATTGATCGCGTAGAATGAAAACATGAGAGTTCATTGTTACCGTATCCCGATGAATTAATGATTACATTAAAATGAGATAAATCTCGCGAGTTAAGACACACGATAAATATCCATCGAGATGCAATTGGAGGGCACGAGGAGGACATCAACACGGGCTTTGTGAATCAGATGAATAATGGGATAACAGCAATTCGCTGAGATTGACCCGTGACCCAGTGGATACTCGATACCATCGAGGCTGTGTGGATACTCGTGTATGCATCGTGAGATGAATATCTCAATGATCGGGGTTTTGGAGTAATGATTATGGAGGGGTTCAGTGTTGCTGATGTTTCGAGTCTTGGCGATGATGCAAAAAATGTTTCATTGATAATTATTCAGACTTTTGTTAGTAATTCAGCAGCGAAGCGGTAGAGCAATTAGAGGGAGACTACTATGAGTTTTAAAAGTCGCGGGCTGTTGGAGTGAGATTTTTCATATATTGGAAATCGATTATATATGTCCAACAACGAATAATTAGCGCAAAAAAATTAATTGTTCATTGTTTCTGACAATGATAAGCCCCTTAATTTGACTCTTCTGACCCTTAATCTAACCCTCGTGATATGTGACTCTTATATATGACATATATGTGATACTTGTGACGCTTATTCTGACCCTGATGACCCTTAATCCGACCCTTGTGACTCTTATTCTGATGCTCGTGACCCTTATTCTGGCCCTGATGGCCCTTAATCCGACCCTTGTGACCCTTATTCTGACACTCGCGACACTTATTCTGGCCCTGATGAACCTTAATCCGACCCTTGTAACCCTTATTCTGACTTTCGTGACCCTTATTCTGACCCTAATGGCCCTTAATCCGACCCTTGTAACCTTGATATGACCGTCGTGGCCCTTATTCAGACCCTCGTGATATTTATTCTGCTCTCGTGACCTTTATTCTGACCCTGGAGAGGCTTATTCTGAACCTCATGACCCTTATTTTGACCCTCGTGGCCCTTATTTTAACTCTCGGGACATTCATCTTGACCCTTGTGACCCTTAATTTTGGATACCCAATTTCGAGTACCAAATTTTCGTCACCAGAAGTTGATTTGGATTTTTATAGTATAGAGAGACAATCAATCTTCAATGCATGATAAATCTCAGTCCAATAGCCGATGAATTAAAAAACTCATAGTAGTCTCCCCTTAAAATTCGTAGCACTTAGCGGAGTTCTCCAGAAATATCTCCGAATCTAGTGCAGATAGCAACATTTTCGTAATAACAGTTTTTGTTGAAAATTTTTGTTGAAAATTGAAATTAAATGAAATATTTTGCAATATTACACTGTTAAAAAATTTTCGCTGAAATTTCCATTACACTTCTTGGAAATGCTTATCACATTATAGTTCGATTAAAATTTGATGAATTCGTCAAGAATTCGTCATTGAAATTTCAAAATTTGATGAGGAAATGAAATGCATGGAAATTGTAAATTGCAGTGCAATAATTGCATCAAAACTCATAGAAATTCGGGAAAATTCTGGTAAATACATTTTTCAATTTAGAATTTATTGAAAATTCAAGTAAATTCGGAAATTCTCTTCTCCCCGCTGCTCAAAAATTCGGAAATTCGTTGAATTATCATTGAAATCTGAAATTTCATGATTTTTTTTTCCGCCAAGTCTACTTTAACGTCATTTTCAAATAATATGAATCTTTTTTTTCCTGCGCGGTAGTAGGTTTCACGTTGAATCACAAGTTGATTGAACGATAACCCTGTATTACTCATCCAGAAGTCATTCGATGCATCAAACAATGTATCCCCAACCAATCAGATCTCCCCCCGAGACCCCATCGTCCTATCATTCGCGATATCGACCACCCACTGATCTCAACGCATCAGAAAAATTCACGCAAACGACAAATAAACGAGTTCGACATTCTCCTCTGAAAATAATCTATTTTTAAACATCCGGTGCAAATCAGCCATGTTTATACTATCCACGTGTTTTTTCAGATGAGAACCCTGCGGTACCGGTTTCCAATGCATTAAAAATATATTCAATGCTAAAAAAAAACACGCGGATAACAGCTGAGTCATGCGTATATCGGATTTGTAAATGTACCGTGACACCTTTATCACAGCGAAGGTGTAGACATGTGCACAAGGAGCACTGTTATTGCACCCAGACTGCGAAAAAAATATGGCTTAGGGTGCATTGTCCTGTCGCCTCAGCTAAGAATAATCCAGCATTCAAGGATACTGATCCAGTTGGTCGTACTACATGCATTGTAGGCGTTCATTCATGTGTAAACAAAGCGAAAAAAATGGCATTATTTTTAATTCCCTATTGAAAAGAACACGAAGAAAACAATTTGAATTTCGTCAACTAGTTGTGGAAGTTCATCAACTAGTTGGTGAAATTTAACAGCTAATTAGTTAGAATTCAGATAAGATTTTTCAATTTCATTCTACAACCATTTATAAAATTTTCGATAAATGTTCGTCATTTTTCTTTGATGCATCAAATTTAACAATAAATTGTAGATTATTGCGAAAGCAATTTCTAGGCGAGACGTTGATCGATTATGAAGATAGATAGAAATTATTGCGGGATTGTTTTCAAAGGTATATAGCCCTCACCATCTAGTTTGGTAGTCAATATTGATTGAATTGATTGAATTAGAAGTTCAAGCTGGTTGCTTTTTACAGATAACACTTTTGAACATTTTTGGCTGAAACTTCCAGTGAACTCTGTGGAATTTTTTTCTCATCAAAATTTCAGGTAATTTCGTTATTAAGAATTCGAAATTAATTAATTAGTTGTTAAATTTCACCAAAGCAAATCTCGCGAGAGTGACATTGAATCGAATTTAAGAAATAAATGGTTCCGAGTTTCAAGTTTTAAGTAGAATTCACGGAAATTCATGAGTTTTCAGTGAGGGTGAGATGGAAATTTCAGAACGTGATTGAATTTTCAGTGGAACATGAATGTTCAGGAACAAGATGACCTGGATTTTTAAATTTTCGCTGAATTTTCCTGATTTTTCACAGAATAATTGAACAGAAAAATCAAGTATTTATTCAATTCAATAAAAAGTATTTCAAGTATTCAAGCGTTCAAGTATTTATTTAATTTAAGTATTTAGTATTGATTTCCAGATCATTTGAACAGAAAATCCGTAAAATATTTCAGTAGCGAAGTGGTAAAAGGATATAAGTCAATTTTGACTATTGACCAGTTTTCAATCAATATCTCGGAAACTAAGGGAGATAGCGAAATTTTTATTATAACCTTTTTTTTGGAGCCAATTGAGTGCTACAACAAATGTAATTCCAAAAATTTCGTTATCTGCCTTAGATTCCGAGATATTGATTGAAAACTGGTCAATAGTCAAAATTGACTCATCTCTTTTTATCACTTCGCTACTGATTTGATTTTTCAATGACAAAATTTCCTAAAATTTTAGGGGAACTTGAACACGATAAAAATTTCCGGAATTTGGCCCGTAAAATTCAGATGAAAATATTCAATAGCGTAATTGTTGAAATTCAATAATTGATTGGTAATTCTTTTTTTCACCAACTAGTTGATGAACGTCACCAACTACTTGTTGAAATTCACCAAATAATATTCTCCAAGAAAGTGCAAATAAAACTCCCTCGTAAATAATCGAGACCCGTAAGTTGTAGAAACTCGGGTGCATTGTTCGCCGGGGGGACAGTAACTGGTGGACATTCAAGGATGTAGATAGTCAAAGTGCAACGGAACAGAATTGCAGCTTCCATCGTTGCAGAATGAGAGAAGCAAAAGTCGTGCGTGCGAGAGACCCAAAGAGAGAAGAAAGAAAAACGAAACAACAAGAAAGAAAGACGAGGAGAAACAGCACAAATGCAATGGATAAAACGAAAGCGAGAATGTTCCCCTAGCCAGGATGGAATTATAGTGGGGAGGGCAGAACAACTCAAGCACGTGGAGATACCGAGACTGTGTCTCGTGTTCAGTTGTGCTCACAGCCTTCCGACAATCTGGTACTCCAAATTCACTACTTCGTCTCTGAGTAATTGATCGAGAGTGAACGATTCGTGGTAGCAGAAGCGAGAAAAAAGTTGGTTCACTACTTTTTCCATCTGATTAACAATAATTGTCGAGAAGTATGTGATGCTTTTGGAGGCGTAAGCGATTTTTAAAATAAAAATAAAAGCATCTCGCTGGATTTATCACGATGACTATCACGAGGTTGACCGGTCTCGTGAGTTTATTGATCCTGGTGACCTCGAGGCGACCGGTGGATGCCACTGAGCTCCAGTTCCCCCATGATCACAACAGGGCGTCGCATCATAATTATCATCACTCCCGGCATCATTTTCACAGCAGTTCAGCAGTTAATTTGGATAATTCAGATCGTCGAGGGAATCCGCATCGATCGCGAGTCCTCCACGATTCCCTGAGAAATGCGCGGACAGTCGAGGCGTCTCGGCTGCACCGTCATCCCCATGAATCAGAGAAGAAGGATCAGTTGAGAAATGAGACCCCGAATAAATCCGGAAAACTCACTGCTGTTGACCAGCAGCCCGGCAGAGCAGTTTATCACGGTGATCAGCGGTTCAGATCTAGAGATGGGTTCGGGGGATTCGGTTTGACTACATCTCCTCCGATTTATACTAAACATCATCCTGGGTGAGTTACAATTTACAATTGACAAATTAACAATTCGACATCTAATAAAACAAGATTTCAATTTTTTTTTTGAAACAAGTGTATCTCAAAATTCATGTGAAATCTCGTTGTTCGTATCCATTTTTACGTCTCACGGAGCTCACAAGTCATTTTATTTATCTTCCAATATGAACTATTTCACGTTACTTGTACTTTTTGATGCATTCATACCATTTGCACACAGGAATAGCCAAATTCATATTTAATTACCGTTAAATATTGTAGCCATCAATTAGTTAACGTCACTCTTAAATTTTTTGAGTACTTGAGTATCATCAATTCAAATATTCAAATTTTTAAGTATTTTATTAATCAATAATTGAGGTAGGAAGATTGACGATTATTTGTGTAATCTTGTTTTTTATCGTTATTTTATATCGCTTCGACCCGATTAGGGTATACTGCGATGATGATATCAAGACTTTAAATGGTTAGATCGCACCATTCTACCCGGCCGGGATTTGAACTCGGAACCTTTCGCATATGAGGCAACGAACTTACCCACTGCGTCAAGCCACCGGGCTGTTTTTGTGTAATCGAAAATCCCCTTTTAAGAAATTTGAATTACTCACTTAGTCGTAAATTTACAGTTCCATATTGATAAATTTTAATTCATCATTATTCGAAAAAAATCAGATTATTAATATCATATTATTTGGAAAATTAGATCAATATATTTTGAACCTTCATTGATGTAACGGCCAAATTCTTGTAATATTACAGAAATTTAATATTGATGGCGATCCCTGTTGGACAGCTGTCAAGAGAAGGAAAACGTGTTATTTCAGACGATTTTTCATGTGAATTTTGAGATACCCTTGTTTTGAAAATAAAATTGAAATAGGGGAACATGGGGTAAAATGGACTCTTGACTTTTTTTTTAAAATATTCATAACTCAGAAACAGATTTATCAATTGAGCTCAGTCTAAGCTCATCACAAAGAGGAATCATTGTTCGTTCTATTAAAGAATAAAATTATTCCATTTCATGAACAATTCAACACATCATGAACATTTCAAAAAAAGTCAAGTGTCCATTTTACCCCACTCTCCCCTACCCTTATCTTATTAAGAAAGGTCGAATTACTCATTAATTTGAATGAATGGATTGATCCTGGGTGTTTCTCATTCGAAATTACATGTTTTATCGAGTCGAATCGATCTGATAAAGAAGCAATGCAAAGTGGATTATAACAGCATTCAGTGGCTATTAATCCCAACGATATGCCCCGATGATGATGTATTTGGGGATCGAGGAAATACGGTGCAGCAGTGGCCACTAAGCTGATTATATCAATAATCTAGTGCATTAGATCTATTAGATTGATCGATCGGTCGTGTTCAGGAAGTAATTTGATGGCGTTATGAGGAATATGTTGGGTAACTGGTTTTAATTCTGCGGTTGGGTTATCTGGGGTTAGTAATATGGTTCGCGGACAATGTTGAATGATCTAGATTATCGGAATGATTCAAGCTCAAATATGATTGCTCTGGGGGCAACCGTGTGCATATGTTCGTAATTCATTTCGACTCAGATTCCTGTAGAATTAAGTAATTCGTGAATTTTTGGGTGTTGTGAAGACGATGAAAAATGATTCTGTTCATTTGGCGAAATGAACTGACTATCTAATCAATTCACAAACTCATTGATTATATAAATCAAGCACATGTCCTCGTAATTGATTCCAACAGAGATTTATGTAGAAATCATCAATTCGTGAATTGATTGATCGAGAGTTTCGTTCCAATGAATTAATTAATTTTTGGATATTGTAAAAACGGAGAAATACTTAGCGTTTGGCAAAATGAACTGACTATGTAATCAATTCACAAACTCATTAATTATATAAACCAAGAAAGTCATATTCAGAACCACTGCACCTATCTCGGTAATTGATTTCAACAGAGATTTATGTAGAAATCATCAATTCGTGAATTGATGAACCGAGGGTTTCATTCCATTAAACAATGAATGATGTATTACAGTCGAGTATCTCGAACTTCTTAGAGTTGCAAGTTGTCAAGACAAAGAGACCAACATGTTAATAGCAACCACTGAGAAGTTGCCAAGAACTACAGGATTAAATTAACATCCGTTCCCCTGTAGTTTGCAACTGGAGCAAGGATTCAGTGCCTTATAATTGCGCATTCTGATAGCCCTGTACATATGTCCGTTTATTTTGACTCAGACTTCTGTGAAATTAACTACTTCATGAATTTTTGGATATTGTTAAAACTGAGAAATATTCAGCGTTTGGCAAAATGAACTGACTATCTAATCTATTCACAAACTCATTGATTATATAAATCAAGCACATGTCTTCCTAATTGATTTCAACAGAGATTTATGGCGAAATCATCAATTCGTGAATTGATTGATCGAGAGTTTCGTTCCAATGAATTAATTAATTTTTGGATATTGTAAAAACGGAGAAATACTTAGCGTTTGGCAAAATGAACTGACTATGTAATCAATTCACAAACTCATTAATTATATAAACCAAGAAAGTCATATTCAGAACCACTGCACCTATCTCGGTAATTGATTTCAACAGAGATTTATGTAGAAATCATCAATTCGTGAATTGATGAACCGAGGGTTTCATTCCATTAAACAATGAATGATGTATTACAGTCGAGTATCTCGAACTTCTTAGAGTTGCAAGTTGTCAAGACAAAGAGACCAACATGTTAATAGCAATCACTGAGAAGTTGCCAAGAACTACAGGATTAAATTAACATCCGTTCCCCTGTAGTTTGCAACTGGAGCAAGGATTCAGTGCCTTATAATTGCGCATTCTGATAGCCCTGTACATATGTCCATTTATTTTGACTCAGACTTCTGTGAAATTAACTACTTCATGAATTTTTGGATATTGTTAAAACTGAGAAATATTCAGCGTTTGGCAAAATGAACTGACTATCTAATCTATTCACAAACTCATTGATTATATAAATCAAGCACATGTCTTCCTAATTGATTTCAACAGAGATTTATGGCGAAATCATCAATTCGTGAATTAATTGATCCGAGAGTTTCACTCCAATGAATTCATTAATTTTTGAATATTGTTGAAACGAAGAAATACTTAGCGTTTGGCGACATGAACTGACTATCTAATCAATTCACAAACTCATTGATTATATTATCCAAGAAAGTCATATTCGGAACCACTGCACCTATCTCGGTAATTGATTTCAACAGAGATTTATGTAGAAATCATCAATTCGTGAATTGATTCACCGAGGGTTTCATTCCATTAAACAATGAATGATGTATTACAGTCGAGTATCTCGAACTTCTTAGAGTTGCAAGTTGTCAAGACAAAGAGACCAACATGTTAATAGCAACCACTGAGAAGTTGCCAAGAACTACAGGATTAAATTAGCATCCGTTCCCCTGTAGTTTGCAACTGGAGCAAGGATTCAGTGCCTTATAATTGCGCATTCTGATAGCCCTGTACATATGTCCGTTTATTGTGACTCAGACTTCTGTGAAATTAACTACTTCATGAATTTTTGGATATTGTTAAAACTGAGAAATATTCAGCGTTTGGCAAAATGAACTGACTATCTAATCTATTCACAAACTCATTGATTATATAAATCAAGCACATGTCTTCCTAATTGATTTCAACAGAGATTTATGGCGAAATCATCAATTCGTGAATTAATTGATCCGAGAGTTTCACTCCAATGAATTCATTAATTTTTGAATATTGTTGAAACGAAGAAATACTTAGCGTTTGGCGACATGAACTGACTATCTAATCAATTCACAAACTCATTGATTATATTATCCAAGAAAGTCATATTCGGAACCACTGCACCTATCTCGGTAATTGATTTCAACAGAGATTTATGTAGAAATCATCAATTCGTGAATTGATTCACCGAGGGTTTCATTCCATTAAACAATGAATGATGTATTACAGTCGAGTATCTCGAACTTCTTAGAGTTGCAAGTTGTCAAGACAAAGAGAGACCTCCATGTTCATAGCAACCACTGAGAAGTTGCCAAGAACTACAGAATTAAATTAACATCCGTTCTCCTATAATTCGCAACTGGAGCAGAGATTCAGTGCCTTATCACTGGGTATTCTAAAGCTCGTGAATGCAGAAGGTTCAATGGTTAATTAAACTGTTGTATTGGTTTTTCACTTCTCTATTCGTCTCTCAAACATTTCCGAGGAATATTCACAGTAGAAATGTTCAGTCCTCAGCATGTTGGAGTCGTTGCGCTAGGTTTGCAATTACCTCAACCCCAAATTTACTCACAATCATGAGGCAAGTGGCTACGGTGTAACTCCGCAATGTATCCAGACAAGATTTACGATTTCCTCGGAACGCAAATCCATTAGTCCGATAGTTTCCTCAGCGGAGGTTGATGGGAGAGGGCGGTATGGATGAATAGGTCGTGGTTCGAGTGGGCGTCTTGGCGGTGAGATACCCAGAGGTACATGGGGTACCTGTATACTTGTATTTGATGTTGTTAGTTCCTTGGGAAACGCTCCAATCAATACAGCTTCTTATGATTACATGAATGAAATGCATGGAGAGAGGGATATGATAAAAGTGACCCGTTAATTTTAGTAATCGCGCTATTTAGGGACCTTTCGGGAATTTTTACCGGAAGTGTAGGCGGAAGTGGAATACTTAAGGTGAAAATTATATTTTTATAATTTTCTTACTTAAAATATTGAAATTTTTAGTAGACATATTGCATGTTTGCTTCCGCATGAAAGCTTTGTAATTGTTGAAATTTAAGTTTTAGATTTTTTGTGTTATATCGTAACAAAGTTTTTCTTCAATTGTTCGCTAGTGACTCGATGGAATTGAATCTTTTTTTAATGTTTGAGAGATGAAATGTAGGTATTGTTAAGCCCCATCGCCATTAAAGAAATTTTAACTCATCATTTTTTTTTTACTTTAGAACGAGGGAAAAAAAATTGAGAAATGGT